ACTTCTCACAGCACATACACTTTATTTTGCCAGATCTTCCCAGAATGTTCAGACGAACACTACTAAAAATAAAATGTAATACTTTATGAGATCTGTGAATTTCATGTGACAGTTGTAAATCGCTCTAAAAGCATTAATTTTTAAAGTGTAAGTGCAGGCCACTTGAACCTAACCAAATGTAATCGCTTGAATCGCGCTCAGGTAGACGTGACCTCCGCGAAGGCCACGAAATAAGAACTCAACCGAAGAGGTTATTAAATCAATAATCATCCCTTTATCATATTTATAATATCAAACTTGGTCACACATGAAAAATTTGTATGGAGCTTTTATCGATAAAAGTGCAACATTTTTTTGGGAAGAGAAGTGACCTAGCATCCCTCTTAACAAACAAAATAGAAAATAATATTAAATGAGGCACGATCAGAAAAGATCATATGCCCTTGGAATGGTAAATTTACTTCCTTTTCAATGGACTTTTACTTATTTGGATATTTTAATATTATCCCTTTAATACAACAAAACAATGCGTTCTAAGTCACGTGCCTCGACTATCAGATACCCGCTCCTCAGCTTAAGGAAGAGCGACAGACAATCGATAGGTATTGACGAATCCAATACTTTCGGTAAAAATACTTATTCCAGCACCGAAACTGTTGCCGCTGCTAGGTATTCTTAGGCTTGATAAAAACAGCTGATTTCAAAAAGTCTACTAAGATGAAGTTTTCTAATCTCAAAGACGCAAAACCCAAACAGCTGATGCAATAATCAAAGCAAGCCCTGTGTTAACGCTTTACAGCATAATTTTGTGAGTAACAGCACTCTGTAATTGTTTCTTGTTTAGTTAATAAGGGGAGTCGAGAGTTCTTAACGACAAGTTTTTCTGGCCGTTCACTTTTTGGGCCAATAGGGGATATAAAAAGGCTCTTGGTGAACTATTTGTATAATATTAAAAGTGTCCGCGCCAAGGAGGTGATACTGTTAATGAATGTTAGAGGTTAACAGACGAGAGCAGTTACGTCCAGATGGTCTCTCATCTCGCTAACATTAGAGTTAACTAGAAGCTGTTAGTTAAGCCCACGCAGTGGCTAATAAAGTGAAGTCCAAAATTGAAACGAAGTCTACGTCTATTTCTGTGCCCTGAAGTATATTTCAAGCCGCCAACCTCCAATTCATGGAGCCTTCGAGCCGGATATTTCCTGGAATTTACGAGTTTCAGAGTTCAGCAGCGGAGTTTTCCGAGCTCTTCAAAAAATCCAAGATAAGTACGAAAATTCCATATTTCCACTGCCGACCAGCCAGATATTTCCCAAGAACCCAATTTTCTTATATCTGTTTGATCGGCCATTTCCGGCTTCTTTTTCGTATTTGCCATTTCCATACATATTCGTATTCATATGCACATACTTCCATTCGCGTTGCACCCTGCGAACATTTCTACAGCGATATACTACAACACAGTCCACATTATTTCCGATTTTCTAAATTATTACAAATTACAAAATTAAATTACAATTTACACACATATCATACGCCCATACATACACACATATAACCCTGATGCATGCTTTTTAATGTACGTACATATGCCCGGCCATCTCAACATATGTACATAAGGGAAAAAGTCACGTAGCGTAACGTAAGGCAACGTAAGCACGGTAACCCAGGAATGCACCTAGAAGCATTCAAAAACCAAATATCTGGAAGTTTTCCCCAGGAATACATAAAACTGGATTTCAATTTCATATTTATTTTGTATTTCAATATTCAAGAACGCAACTAATTTTTGATCGGAGTAACTCCCCTTCTGTACGGGGCTTTCCTACTTCCTTCTTGTTTATGTACTTTTGTCATTTACGCAGTTCAGTCCTTGGTGTGCCCATTCATTTTTTGCGATTCTAAAGAAAAGAAAGGTAACTTTTAAATTTTAATATTGCTCCAACATACAAGGGTGGTCAAAAGTATTTTCACAAAAAAAAAGTTAAAAATATTTATAATTTGAACTTACATCTTGTTAACTTTGGCATCAATGGAAAGGTAATTTAAATGCCGTTTGAATGATACAATACATTTCTTAACACATTCAGTACTTATTGAAAAGGACGAATTTGTGTGAAAATGTCCTTTTTGAACTTTTTTCCTCGACTTGAAAACTTAAATTTTTTGATGCAAAAAGTTTCTTCAAACAAAAATAATAGTAACTGCAAAACGAATTTTTCAAAAATCATTTTGCTTATATTTTTTATGGTTTTTTAAAGGTGCCACTGTCGGAAAAAATTTGTATGAAAATGAGAAAAATATGCCTAAAATGCATGTTTCTAAGCGTTTACTATCCTGGATCTGTCCCATGGATTCTGGCAAATGGAGCTGGATGAAGCTAGTTCAGATTTAACGACATTCATGACTCCATTCGGGAGATTTAAATTTAACCGGGTTCCAGTTGGAATCAATAGCGCTCCTGAAATGTTTCAACGAAATATGGATCAAATTTTAATGTAATGTAATGTAATGTAATGTAATGAAAAAGGTAATAGTTTACTTTGATGACATAGGAATATTAGGGGAAAATCTTGAAGATCATGATAACACGTTGTTACAAGTACTTCAGCGGGCTCAAGAAAATGGAATACGTTTTAACCCGGACAAAGTTCAATATAGGAAACAAGAAGTTGAATTTATGGGTCATATTTTATCAGAAGGGCAAATAAAACCTCAAAGAAAGCATTTAGAAGCCATTCAGAATAAAGCGGGAGTGCTACGTATTCTTGGACTTTTTAAATATTTAGTCGATTACAAAGGCAAAGAGCGAAACTTCCTTAGCCACCCAAGGAGACGATAAGAAGCTGTCTGTTCCGACGAGCAATCAGAAACGATCGTCTCTGAGTCCGTTCACACCTAAAGTTAGGCCACAAATCCAGACCAAGTCCGTAAAGTAGCTAGCAACTCGTTCTCAGGCAAAAATGAGTAACGAAATTGCAATTGCGGCCCTCGCGCGGGTTATCACGGTGTCCGACCGTATGAGAAACTCCAGGGCCGTCATCTCCGTCCATCCACACCTGCAAAGTCCGTAAGGAACAATTCCGCTCACTCTGAGACAAAGCCGAGAAAGAATCTGAAGCGTGTCTAGACACGATTTCCAGCGTTACGACTGAACGGGGGGAAGAGGTTCTGGCGACTCTGCACCGAAAATGTGAATATTGCTATTCGGTGTACGAGGAGCTAGCGGTTCAGCTCAGTGAGCTAATCGACCGAGCCAATTCTCAGCATCCGCCCACGAGCACCAATAATCAGTCCATTTACATTCCGTCTGGGTGCCGGTTACCACCATGCGATACTGAAGAATTCGAAGGGGACTATTTGAAATGACCAACATTTAGGGATCTTTTTACAGCAGTTTATGTCAACAATTCTAGGTTGACATCGGTCGAAAAACTTTTTCATCTCAACGCTAAAACTAGCGGCGAGGCTAAGGCAATCGTAGCCAAGTCCCCTCTCACAAATAAGGGCTTCGAATCATCATGGGCAGCGCTTTGAGACCTTTTCGAAAATAAGAGACTGCTAGTAAACAGCCAACTAAAACTCCAAGGGTGTTTCCAACGTTTCCACAGAGAACTGGGACTGTCTCCTGGTATTCCTGTGCGCCAGCAGATTACCAAAACTGACCCTCTCCTGATGGGAGCAGTCCCTTTCATCCAAGTCCGACATTTCGACCTGGGATGAAATGAACACGTTTCTCAGCGACCGATACCGAACGCTAGAGGCGATTGAGGATATGAAACCCAGCACTAGCAATCACTCTAACGCTAAGAGTCAACCCGTTTCCAGGAAGCTCAACTCCTTCGAAGATAAGGTGGTCACAAAACTAAAGAATTGCGATCTGTGCTCAAAAGAGAGTCATCCAGTGCGCTTATGCCAGCGTTTTCTCCAGATGTCTGTAGACAAAAAAAAGCAGCTTTGCCTAAATTGTTTCGCGAAAGGCCACCAGCTACTTGAATGTACTAGCACTCACAGCTGTTTCACATGTCGAGCGCGGCATCATACACTGTTGCATAAAGGCAACCCCAATTCCCGTGGATCAACTTCCGCAATTAGTTCTTCAGCAGGCCAACAAAATCCAGCTATACAGGGGGCCGCCAACGGATCAGGAAATCTGCCCAGTGTGCAGAACTATTTAGCAACCGGTGCTAGAGCGGTTTTGCTAGGCACGGCCATTATTGACATATGCCACTTGGGAACGAACTACAGGGCTCGCGCTCTGATAGAGTCGGGTTCTGAGGCTACGTTTATTACGGAACGCCTGTCAAATCTGATTAAGCTGCCATTCCGCCATATCCAAGCCCAAGTTTCGGGCTTAAATCAGACCGTTTCCGCTCAGGCGACCAGGCTCTGCCATTTTGCTATTCGAGCCCCTAATAAGCCAAGCCTTCAGCTAGAAACCGCAGTTTACGTTTTGCCTGAATTGGCCGGAAAGCTACCGTCTTACCCAATTTCACGAGATGCGCTGATTGATTTACCTGCTATTCCCCTGGCAGATCCAACATTTTTAGAGAGTTCCCAGATAGATGTTCTGATCGGAGCCGACTTTTAACCGTCCGTGTTGCTGAGCGGCACGCGCACAAACATTTGTGGTTCTCTCCTAGGTCAGGAAACTATTTTCGGCTGGGTGCTTACCGGCCCAGTTGCTAGTACATCTAGCCAAAATCGGGCATCAGCTTTCACGACCCAGATAACCGAAACGAGTGACAGGGGCTTGGAAAAACTTCTCACTAAGTTTTGGGATTCCTATTCCAAGAGCAATTTTCTCCAAACCACCACTAGAGACGCAAGCGGTAGATACGTGGTAACTTTACCGTTTCGCGAGCCCGAAAATTTCGGATCCAAATTGGGGTACTCGCGATCCATTGCCCTAGCTCAGTTTCTTAAAAACGAAAACCGTTTGAAAAGAGACTTTCCATTAAAAGAGCAATATGTGTAATAATAGTGCGAATGCAGTATTCCCATAATTAGGTAGTAAGTGTTAATAATGTATAAGCTCATATTGAATGTACGTATGTTCGTTAGAGACGGTCACACTGGACAAGCTCTCTTCCGTTTCAAAAGTGGCATCAATAAAGACGCGCTTCAATACACGTCATACAAAATCATTAATGATCTGCATATCAACGATTATTACATGGTGTCAGAAGTGAAAATATCAATTGCAAACTAAAAAGGAACAAAATGGAGCGAGTTCTACAAGAAATCGACTGCTCAATGCAGGCATATGAGTGGCCAAAATGGAAGAGGTCGTTTATCATGTACATGATGGCGTCAGGCAAAGACTCAGAGCCAGAAGCCAAAAAGATTGCCACATTCCTATGGTTGGCTGGATCAAAGGTCACGGAAATATACAGTACATTGTTTCCCAACGATGGAACCGCACATGGCATGGTCGGCACCATGGTGTCGTCTTCAGACCCGTCTACCTCTGCCGCGGCATTCGATGACTACAGCATCCCGTTCCGAAACATCACAATGGAATCCTACAAATTCAACAACATTGTTCAAACTGAGGGACAGCCTTTCATAGAGTTTGAGACGCAACTCCGCAAGCAGGTACAGTTATGTGACTACAAATGTGACTGTGGCCGAACATACGAAGAACGTATGTTGCTAGACCGCTTCATAATTGGCATTCAAGATAAAAGGCTGCAGCTTAAACTCCTTGAATCAAAAAACAAGAAACTCGAGGAGATCATCACTGAGTGCAAAGCCTTTGAAGCGGCCGCAAAAAACAATGAATTTCTACGGAATCCCCATTATGAAAAGTCCGTTGACGCAGTTGTCCGTCGCTGCTATAATTGCTGAGCAATTTTCAAGTGCCGAGTGCCGTGCAAAGAAAATGGCATGTTACTATTGCGGAAAAATTGGACATTTTTCCAAGTACTGCAAGCAGCAGAAAAAACGAGTGGATAACAACAACTACAACAGCAGCAATAGACGAGTGGATAACAACAACATCAGCAACAAACGAGTGGATAACAACAACTACAAAAGCAAGCAGATAGATGTGGATCGCAAGCAAGCAGCCGGAGCAGTTATTAATTGGATAGAATCAGGTAAAAGTAAGGAAAGAGTATTTAAATCAGAGGCTTACATTAATGAAAGTAATTTTAGAATAAGCGAGTGCGGGCTAAACAGAGTAAGATGGACGAAAACATATAAAATAAATGGAAAAAATGTTACGTTTAAAGTGGACACAGGCGCTGATGTTAACTGCATCCCAAGTGATTTAGTTAAAGAATTAAAACTTGAAGTTAAAAAAGAAAACATTCTAATTTTTGACTATAATAAACTATAAAACCAGGGAGGAATTTGTGGAAAAATTTAGTCAATTATTTCAGGGACTCGGTAAGCTGCCAAAGAAACAATCAATCATTTTGAAGGAAGGTGCTCAGCTTGTGCTCCATTACAAAAAAAGGTTCCCACAAAGTTTGTTAGGGTCATTGGAGCAAGAGTTAAATGCTATGGTAAAGGAAAAGATAATCTCCCCAGTAACATACCCGACTAGTTGGGTGAACAATTTGCAAGTAGTGGAAAAATCAAACGGAAAACTCAGACTTTGTTTAGACCATAAGCCGTTAAATAACGCAATTAAAAGAGAACATTACCTTATACCAACAATAGATGATTTTATGATACAATTAACTCGGAAAAAGGTTTTTACTATCCTGGATCTGTCCCATGGATTCTGGCAAATGGAGCTGGATGAAGCTAGTTCAGATTTAACGACATTCATGACTCCATTCGGGAGATTTAAATTTAACCGGGTTCCAGTTGGAATCAATAGCGCTCCTGAAATGTTTCAACGAAATATGGATCAAATTTTAATGTAATGTAATGTAATGTAATGTAATGAAAAAGGTAATAGTTTACTTTGATGACATAGGAATATTAGGGGAAAATCTTGAAGATCATGATAACACGTTGTTACAAGTACTTCAGCGGGCTCAAGAAAATGGAATACGTTTTAACCCGGACAAAGTTCAATATAGGAAACAAGAAGTTGAATTTATGGGTCATATTTTATCAGAAGGGCAAATAAAACCTCAAAGAAAGCATTTAGAAGCCATTCAGAATAAAGCGGGAGTGCTACGTATTCTTGGACTTTTTAAATATTTAGCCAAGTTTATCCCAGACTTATCTTCTATAACTACAAACCTGAGAAATCTGACTAGGAATGATACTTCGTTTGAGTGGACTGTACAACGAACTCAATGACTCAATGACTTGCTTAGAACTATAACAAGTGATCCGATTTTAGCCGTTTATGACAGCGCTAAGCCTGTTGTCATTCAAACCGATGCCTCAAAAAACGGTCTCGGTTGTGTTATTCTACAAAACGGACATCCAATCAGTTTTGCGTCACGTACGCTTACAAAGAGTGAACAAAAGTGGGGTCAAATTGAAAAAGAGCTTTTAGCAATTGTTTTTGCGTGTGAAAGGTTTCACTACTATGTCTACGGTAGAGAATTTTTAGTAGAAAGTGACCACAAGCCTCTGGAAGTCTTATTAAGCCGTGACATTGACTCTGTAACAATGCGATTACAGCGAATGCTGTACCCAAAAATGTCCGTAAAATATAAACCTGGAAGAGACATGTTAGTTGCAGACTGTTTTTCTCGAGCTCAACTACCGGATGAATCAGACATCTCGGAACTGGCCAATGTAATTCATATAATAAGCCAAGCAGCCTGTTTCTCGCAAGAAAATTATGAATGCTATCTTAGGGTTTTGGAAAACGATGAAAATTGTTGGAAAATAGCTGAATTTGGTAAAAATGGGTGGCCATCATTCCATAAATTAAACCAATTTTGTCAAAACTTCTATAAATTCAAATCGGAATTACACTTTGAAAACGGTCTTCTATTTCGTGCTGGTAGGCTGGTGATCCCGTCCAAGTTACAGAAATCAATCTCAAACCAAGTGCATGAGTCCCATTTAGGTGTGGAGAAAACCTTAGCTCGAGCACGAAAACTTTACTACTGGCCAGACATGAGCGTACAAATTAAGGAATTGGTGCACTCTTGCGAGGTATGTGAAAAGTTCAGAAGAAACAATTAAAAGGAACCGCTAATAGATGATGGAATATCCATTTTATTTGGCAGGAATGGATATTTTTGATTACAGGGGAAACAATTTTTTGTCAATCTTTGATGCATATTCTAATTTCTTGATTGTTAGTCGGCTAAAAGGGAAATTAGTTGCAAATGTCATTGAAGAACTAAGAAAAACATTTGATAATTATGGGTACCCATCAAAGCTCAAATGTGATAACAATCCCTTTAATTCATTTTCGTTTAGAAACTTTGCTAATGAATGTAATACATTATTGCAGTTTTCCAGTCCTAGGTACCCACAAAGCAACGAACTAGCAGAAAAAGGGGTGGCGATTGCGAAGAATATTTTAAAACGTTTCTAAAGCAACTGATTACCAGTATAGAATCCTTGAGTACAATACTACTCCCGTAGCTAGTTTAGGTCTTGCTCCATGCGAACTGTTCTTTGGACGAATGTGTAAGACAAAAATGCCAATTAAGAAATCGGAGCTGTTGAGAAATCACATTGAGGAGGAAAAGATTATTAAAAGATTCGGTCATAAAAAGGCGAAACAAAAGGCCTGTTATAATATGCACTCAAAAACTCTGCGTCCATTAAATATAGGAGATAAAGTCCAAACTAGAAAAAATGCCAATGAATGGGAACATGGAATCATAAAACAAAAAGTAAATGAAAGATCGTACATTATAAAAGATTACTTCAATAATTTTTTTAGAAGAAATAGAAGACTCATTAATAAGACACAAAACGGCAATAATATTTATTATAATAATGAAACTGTTGATATGTATGACAATGAAATTGTTAATTTAAGTGAAAATGGAACTGTTAACTTAAGAGAAAACGAACCAGAAGAAACTGAAAAAAGCAATGAAGAGACTGTTAATATAAACGAAGAACCAGTAGTCGAAGAAACTGAAAATTTTGATCTAAATCAAACTGACAATGTTAACATAGAAGAAAACATAGATCCCTTAAGTAATAGCACCTTTGTAAATTTAAGTAACATTGATACCTCAGTGGACTATGAAACCCCGGGAAGTTTCAGTTCAGAAGAAGAGGTAGAACCAACAGTATCACAATCAGGAAGAACTATAAGACCACCCAAAAGAAATGGTTGGGATTAAAGTTGTTAAATTAAAAAAAAAAAAGAAGGCGTGTAATAATAGTGAGAATGCAGTATTCTCATAATTAGGTAGTAAGTGTTAATAATATATAAGCTCATATTGAATGTACGTATGTTCGTTAGAGACGGTCACACTGGACAAGCTCTCTTCCGTTTCAAAAGTGGCATCAATAAAGACGCGCTTCAATACACGTCATACAAAATCATTAACAATCTGCATATCAACGATTATTACATCATTCAAGAGTATTTGGATCTGGGTCTTACGATTCTCCAAGCTATTATCTTCCACACAACGCGGTGCTCAAACCTTAGAGTACCACCACCAAACTTCGCGTGGTATTCAATGCTTCTAGCCCTTCAGCAAATGGGACAAGCTTGAACGATATTCTTCATGCTGGTCCAGTCCTACAATCTGATTTAACCATGCAGATCTTGAAGTGGCGTTATTTCCAATACGTGTTCAGTGCAGACATTACAAAGATGTACCGTCAAATCTGAGTCGATCCCAAGCATACGCCGTTCCAAAGAATTTAATTCCGGAATAAAGAAGGAGAAGTAAGCGATTTCGAACTAAAAACCGTCCCCTTTGGTGTCAACTGTGTACCGTTTCTGGCACTCCGCGTACTCCAACAGTTGGCAGATGACGAAGAAAAGGACTTTCCTAAAGCAAGCAATATTGCTTGGCAGCTTATGTACGTAGACGACGTTCTGGCAGGGGCCAATTCCATTCAAAAGGCTCAACTTGCGATCAGCGAGCTTCACCAGAAAGTGGACAGCTAATCAGGAGAGCATACTCGAAGATATCCGAAAGTTTTGCCAAAACACTTGGTGTTCGTTGGAATGCGACCTCAGATGAGTTCTATTTTGTCCCACCGCCAGTTTCGATTGAATCTACTTATACGAAGAGAGAGGTTCTTTCCCAAATCGCGAAACTTTTTGACCCAGCCGGATGGCTGTCCCCGTTTATTGTCCGCTCAAAAATCTAAAATATCCCTACAGAAATGAATCAAAGATGGCAAGAATTTTTGCACAGCTATTCCGAGCTTGAACAGATCCGTATTCCAAGGTAGGTTGGTTTCCAGCCAGAGGTGAAGGAAGAGCATCATGGTTTTTTTGAAGTAGGCCATACAATTATGACACGTCTGCTTACCGCCAAAACGCGAGTCGCCCATGTTAAAACGGTGTTCCTTCCACGGCTCGAGCTGTGTGGGGCATTGTTGTTGTCAGAAATGATCGCAGCTATCCTTCCAAATATGCCAATTTCCAATTCCGACATTTTCTGCTGGACGGATTCCACCATCGTCCTTGCATGGTAGAATAAACCGGCATGCCACTGGACCACGTTTGTAGCCAACCGAGTGACCAAGATTACTCAGGTGACAAGAGCTGAGCATTGGGCGCATGTGCGCTGCAGGAGCTGGTTCATAGCCAACTCCGGTGGGAATGACCGGATTGTTAACAACAGCCAAAAGACAAGTGCCCAACACTGGGGCTTGCACCTCCAGTCACAGACTTAGAGCAGCGTGCTGTGAAGGTCAATTTCGCAAAGGCCCCATCCGAAAATTTTCTGGAACGGTTCTCCAAGTTGGACAAGGCTCTGCGGGTCCTTGCGTACGTGTTACGGTTCATTTAACGCTGCCGCAAGAGGCCGAGGGGCACAGCTGATCGGCCTACCAAGGAAGAGGTCCGAGAATCTAAAAGAGCCCTTATTCTATATGCTCAGCGGGAGGAATATACCCACGAGCTTAAATTCATAAACGATATGCGTCCAATTCCAGTTTCCAGCCCGATAGCCAACCTGTTTCCATTTCTAGACCAGCGAGACCTGTTAAGGGCATGTGGTCGCATTACAGCCTCAACGGCCCTTCAGTTTAACGAGCGGCTTCCTATTATACTTCCATACAACTGTCGACTAGCTCGTCCTTTTTTCACACCAAATTTCCCTGCATGGTGGCAACCAACTAGTGGTACGCCTCATGCGATCGAAGTATTGCATTCCTAAAATCAAGAATCTGGTAAAAGCTGTGCTAAACTCCTGTAAGTACAGACGCAATTGATGGGCGATCACTGGCAACACTTAAAGGCCCTGCATCAGCA